CTGAACCACTACCTATTTCTAGACCACTACAAAATATTTCTTAATTACCAATATTTAAACACTACATTAAATTTACTTAGTTATAATTTTTATTTTAATTTTACTTTATTTGTATTTGAACATTAATAAATTATACAACCAATTATATGTATAAATCTTAATCACATGGCGGTGACAAAGTCACCATATCCAAAAAGTTCTAGTTAATTGAAATAATTTCTCACCACAAAATTTTGCTTAAGATCGGCTTCTATTTGTTCTATTTGCAATTTTGTATCAACGATAATGACAAAATTCAGGGATATCATACAATCGTCAAATTGACTTGTTAACTTTTTGCTTGTAAAAATTCTAGCTTTTTTAGAAAATTCCTTAATTCTCTAATAGTTTACACTAACTAATTTTAAACTCAAATTTTTTTCATAAAAAAAATCTTTTCTATACTTTTTACTAATTTTTAATTTTTTCACAGAAGCTTCAACAACTTGAACTTGATCATATAAGACACAACAAATACGTTTATTGTGAATTGCAGTATCATAAAGAGTGACAAGTTCATGAGCCAATTTAGTTATTTCACCAAAGATGGGAGAGATTTGCTGATTGGAAGAGAAGTTGTTAAAAGAAGTGTTTGGGAAGCAATACAGAAAATTGTTGAGATAATTTCATAAGTGCCAATAAATTGATCTATTTTATCATCTTTATTATCTTTGCTAATTTTATTATCTTTATTTTTATTTTTTGAAGGGAAGCATTTTTTCGAATTAAAGTAATATAATATTTTTTTTGTTTTTTTATATGAATTTTTTTGATTGTTTCTTCTTATAGTTTGAAAAAGCTTGTAGTTCGAATCCAATTTTTATTGTATTATGGATTCGATCACGAACTCATTTAATTGTTTTTTTATAAATAGAATAAAATTAATTTTATTTGTTAAATCAATAAATATTTATTTATTTATTTATACATAATTGAAATAAGTATAAGGTACAACATATATATACAGTTTATTATACATTAATATAACTCATACAATACAATTTAGCGTACTCGTTAAATTTAACTTTAATATTAATTTTCTAAATAATTTCCTGTGCCCATCACTATTACTAATGAATAATTAAAGTCAATTTAAATAATTTAAATAATAAACCTTATACAGTATATTAACTATTATTAAAAACGTAACCCATATTATATTTTTTATTTGTAAATAAATTAATAAATTAATATTAATTATTTATTTATTCATTTATTTAAATTATATTAATCTTGAATGAAATAAAAAATGGCTATTCAAAAAATCGATTGGAACAGAACAAGTGCAATTAGTGATGAATATTTTAAAGTTATTGAAATAAAATATAAAACATAGATATCATTTATATTCTCTAATTTCTATTTTCTTTCTTTTTTTTCCCATCTGTAATATTAACAATATGTTTTATCCCTTCTTAAAAATTCAAGTCTAAATATTAATCAACAATTAAGAAATTATCTGTTTTTATATAGGTTTTTCTATTATCTAAAGTAAAATTAGAATCAGAACTATACATAAAAATGTTATACCTAAAATGTAGACTACAATTTACTTTACTACTTTTGTCAAGATTCAAAATTGACGTTTACTCTGCTAAATATTGAATTCACATATTGCCATTTTACAATGAGAAAATAAAGCTATCGTCAGTTTTTTCCTACCTACCATAACCAGTATTAGAATTTCAAGCTAAAGGATTATATCCTTCAAGGATTTCATCTGTTCCTTTAACTTTTATTATCACTACAGTACTAACATGACATGTATCCAAAAAGGTTTGAGGTGCAAATCTACTTTAAATTATCTGAAATTCTTATTCTTATGGAAAATCTATTAAAGAATAAGTGCTCAATTTTTACGATCAAAGATTGTTCTTGGTGGTAAAATTATTGATCTTACTGATACCATAAATTGCTGGTTCAAGTTGTTTATCAAGAATTTCTCGTGAGGTTTTATTTTATTCCAAACACCAGTACTAGAAATATGGAAATCATTCTTCGAGTTCTGAGGTAAAATGGAATACTGAACAATTCCCAACTTTGATCTCTACATTTGCAAATTTCTCGTTTAAGAAGAGAAACCCATGCAGATTCTTAAAGAGAAGAGCATATCTGGATACTTTGCAATAATTACACTACAAAATCTTTGAAAATTATTTTCACTAAAAATGAGACTTTAACCAAGAACTTTAGTTTCAATAAGAAGATTTTCTTCATTAAATCAAAATTAAACCTTATTTTATTTTAATTAACAATTCCATCATTAATATATAATTTATTGAAATAAATAAATATTAATTATCAAAGTTAACTTTTAACACCAGCATTTTTATTATTAAATAGTAATGGCAATAACTTACTTGTGAATCATATCAAAATTTTCATTGGGAATATTTGGTTTATTAATTGTTTTGATATTGTCATGGTATTTGATATAATCACGGATTTAAATATAATTCATAAAAAATCTATAATAACATAACACTTTGTCTTATTGTTGAATTAAATTAGAATAAGGTTTACAAAGTGATTTAAAAATATCTCGTTCAAGTAATAATAAACAAAACTGGATATAATTAAATTCTTTAAATTTTTCACCATTTTTAGAAGTAGAACAATATCTAATTTCTAAAACCATGTTCTATCACGTCTAAATCATGTGATAAACAAGATTATTATCCGAGTGCCATATGACGCAATATCATATCTAAAATAATATATCAAATTTTTTTAATATCATGATGCATGTTTTAATATATCATTTTTTTTAAAAAAATTAAATAAAGCCATTTCTCTTGGCATAATAATCTTTATTTATTATATTTTTTATTTATTAATTTTTTTATATTTCTCTATACAATTCTATTATTTTATTTAATCAATTTAATATCTTATATCTTTCTTTATACATTATGCATTAAAGGTTCTAAATAGGACTTTAATTCTTTAATAAATTCATTTGTTTGTTCATCATTGTCCCTCTCTTCAACTTTCCAATATTTATTGTGACAACACAAATTGGTAATTAAGTGAAATGTCATAGGAAATAATAATTTGTAACACTAGATGAACATTCAGGTAATTGTTATCCCAGGTGAGATGACTGTACAAGGATGAAAGATGAAGTACAAAGATGATGCACAAAGGATGAAGGATGATACACAAAGGATAAAGGATGAAGTACAAAGATGAAGGATGAAGTGTAAATAAAAGAGAAAGTATAAATACAACTGTTGTCAGGTGTAAGT